AACACTTAATTAACATTCGATGTATTCACCCTATTCAAAGCAGATCTGCAACAATAATGTCACAAATGTTTAAACTAGTAAAGATCTCTCTAACAGACTTAATATGGTCTCAGTTTCCATTATCATTCGCAAATACGGTCTTGCAAGTTCATGCTCTAGCCTTTCTACAGCACGGGAAAGTCTGTGAGGAGCAATACTAGAAAAAAGGAGCGATACGCATTTTCCAACACAAAAATATACTTTTGCATACTCATTCATATCAGACCCACAAGAACATACTACATAGATATATATGATTTCAACGTACTGGTTGGCAGCTATGAACAGGTGATTCCGGCCCATGGGGTGTTGATTTTCTTCTGTTGCTGGACCCCGGAATGTTATCTGGTACTGGAACATGGTGCAAAAGTGCCCTTCCCCATTCAAAGTTTGCTATCTTTTTCAACAATGTTGTTTTTGGTTTTTTTAATATAAAAAAGACACTAAGGCATAGAACACACACAAAACCAGTCTCCAAACTAACAAAGCTCTCAACAGAAAACATGTCTCACAAGGACCCGCAATTTCTTCTTACCCTGTCTTCCCCTAGTTCACAATTCTGCTGCAGTTTTGAGTGACTGATAAGTCTAATTGTCATCATGTTTGTTTCTCAGTTTATCAATAGCTGATCAGATTAATACACATGTCTCGTCTATGACCAGAGAGTACAAAAAGGTATAAAAATTATGGAGTGCATTTTACAGGCGTAGCACATAAAGAAATCTATCACTACGTACATAGTACATGTCATACATGAGTAAGGGTTCTTCCGTATCATTATTTCCAGCAAAGTATGATTTTTACAGAGTACATGAGTATAATATGAAAAAACAAGAAAAAATATGAAAATATCTTCAGGTCAATATGGGATTTTGCAGTCTCAACATTGTGGAATGCCCTTTGCTTTAACTTGAACAAAGAGATACAAGAAAGCATGAGAGAAAGAAATGAGAACGTCTCTCTTTTTTTTGTGGTATACTTATGGTGAGTGGGTTGGGGGGAAGAAGGGGTATTTGAATTTGTCTGACATGTACAACAAACTGAGTTACTTTCACACAAATAATACTGTCTTGTGATAGGCAGACTGGCTTTACTCAACAAAGATAGTACAAGACAAGATGGGCCACTCAGCCTAAAAAGTGTCCGCAGGAAGTATGCTCTTTGCTTCAGATGGCGCTGCAGTCTGTTTTGAAGCTCTCTTTCGTTTTTCCAGAAGAAGAATAGGAATAGCACCTCCTTGCGTGCGCAGATCGACTGCTGTTCATCAGCAGTTCGGGTATGTTCAGTGCGGAGTTTTAGGTTTTTAAAATTTTAATGACCTCTCGCCCTTCATTCTAAAGTCAAATTAAACGAAGAAAACCATCTCCTTTTCCTCCGGAAGAGGTTTTTTGTCAGCGTAACCATTTTTAAAAAGCGTTCTTCTGAAATTTATCCCAAAACTTGCTAGTTTCACTTTGATTTGTTAAAACTCAAGTAGGGTAACTCTGTTCGCAAAGAGTGCGCTTTTGTGAAGAGGGCGCCACCAAATTTTGAGGACACTTTTTTAATTGGCTCAAAGAGAGAAGTGGCCCATCTTGTCTTGTACTATCTTTGGCTTTACTCAACAAAGAACGCTATCACCACATCATAACATCAACAGAGTAGCACACCGCTACTGGTGAGAGGCGAAAGCAAAGAAAAGACTTTTGCAAGCAATAAAAAAAATCAATTTTAGCATTCAAAATTTTCAGTTTGCGTAAGATAAAAAATCATTTGAATTTTGAACATGTTCAAAGCCCTTTTTCAATATATCCAGGTAGCAGCACTTTTCCATTCATACAAAGACTATACTTTGGTCAATTTTCACTAATCTGAGATATTCTTGCAAGACGCACTGCTATTGTTTGCCGGGTTCGTTTTCACAACTACAAAAAAGGCAAATTGCCATTGTCTTTTCAGGAAAATGAGCGTCTTGCGACTTATGTCATTTTAAAAACTCACTCAATTAGATTTAGTAAGAGTTAGAGCACTTGCAACAAAAATAGGTCATATGAGTGCCATAACTCTAAATTGTCTGGGCTTTTGAAACTGACTTAGTTTTTGTTGCAATAACATGACATCAATATCAATATATATTGGGGGGGGGGGGGGGGGGGGCACAGCAGCAACATAACAACTGATAGAAACATGGAAAAATAATATTTACATAAATGATAAATGGGATAATATAATTAAAATGTCTATGTTTATGTGTATCTATACTATACCATCAACAATATTCAAGTTTATTTATAAGTAAGGAGAGCGCAGGCTTACCTCAATAGATACACAAAAAGCAAAAGAATTTTTTTCAAGATAAGCAATGAAATGAAATGTAAACATACTTAGAACATAATGGAGAAAAAAAACAAAACAAAGCCAGCTAGCAGTACAAAAATCAACAACCCAAATCAGGGAGCAAAAACTTTAGACTGTTGTATAATGTTACGTTGCTAAGACTCGTGACACAATGGATTATGAAATTTTAAGCGCATTTTTTAAAGTATCCGCTGACACAATTTAGATCATTTAGGGTGCGAGCTGCTTCGGCTCAGCAGACAGATTATGAAGATGCTTGAAAAAAATTAATAACTCCACCAACACCGGAATAGGACTCGTGTCCGCTGGGTGCAATGACAAAAGATCCTTACCACTACACCTCAAACACAGGTTCAATGGAATACAGGGAACAAACATAATAATCAAGAACATCAAAGAAACAAATATATATATTCATAAATGACTTACACTGTTACCCGTTTTAACGTGGCTTTGGCAACATGAGAGAGGGACCGATTAACAAGTGACTGCCTGAGAGCCAGAAGTGAAGTTGTCTATTTTGGCGTAAGTGACAAAATTTGCAAAACTGAGGCATTCAACAAATTTTATTCCACTGTGTCTCTGAATATTAAACCATTCCTCCCATAGTTTTGCCACAATCTCAGTTTCTGGTGTGTCTATGCCCAAATAATTCTGTTAACATCGGGCCATAAAAATCCATTTTTATTTCAAAAAGAAAAAAAGCAATAATTGTGGACTTGGTCACCTTTGGCTCTCAGCCAGCAGAAGACCCTTCACAGACAAGGGCATGTAATTTATGCTTTCACTCAGCTTCCAACAACCTCTCCCTCGCTCCGAGAGAGCTAATACATGCACTCCACCGTAAAAATGATTGTAAAGCCATACAATTAAAAATATCAATGAGCAAGGAGACAATGAAGTAAGTAATGATTAAACAACAAAAAAAGAACATTTGTACCTGTAAATGTTTTACGCCTCCCAACTGTCAACATTGCTCATCATAAAACAAAGAAGGAACCTGCTACAAAATTCACCCTTTTTTCCCCCTTTACTTCTATTCTCAGCTGTCTCACTGCATCATTAGCAGGGTTGATGATTTCAAGAACAGTACGATCTAAACACCGGTTGATTATAAAGCTTGCAAATGGTTTCAGGTACACCCACATTGAGACAATCGAGACTTTTTAGGAGGCTGGCTGTTCCAACCCTGCATGTTTAGGCCAATCTACACTGAGTGGGACACACCACCCCAGTGGAAAGACAGATCTATTCAACTGTAAAAAAAAAGTTGTCCCCCCCCCCCCTTTAAAAATTAAACATATTACAGGCTTTTCGAAGAAATGGCGGAAGAGCCTAACCATCACACCGTGGATGCTTTATTTCAGCACAGTGGAATGATAATGATGAACACAATAATGGTCTTTTAGGCCAGGCAGACAGGAGCAAAAAAGGGCAAAAATAGAAGTTAGATCTACCAGAAACGCTGTCCAACCATGCGCTAAAGTAGAGGGATCATACCGTACTGATACACTCATTAACCAACAGCACTGAAAATCAAGATCAAGTGATAGCAATACATAGCATAGAGACGATCTTATTTTCTATTACAAAGTGTGCATGCTTTTACTAGTAGAGAACTGGATTTATTAGACTAATAAAGCCAGCTCTCTACTTAAATTTTTTAGACAAATTGATCCAGCGCATTGCTTAGCAAGGAGGAATCTTTTACGTTGCCAAGTTTCATTCAAATATCATGACTTTGGGAGAAGATATAACTGATAATCTTTGTAAATCTGTAAAGAATGCCACTTTTTTTAACCTGTTAATGTCTTTACAACTCAAAAAGTAGGAAAGATATTAAAAATCTGACAGCATGACTAGATTCTGCATTAAAAACTACTAGACTGCCAAGTTTCATTTACATACTCCTAGAAATAGGCGAGCTATGACAGATATTGCCTCAAAACACACCGAAAACCGCCACATTTTGACCAATAAACGTCTTCATAACTCAAAAAGTAGGATAGCTATGAGAAATCTGAAAGCAGGACGAGATTCTGCACTAGCAAATGTACTGGGCTGCTAAGTTTCATTTAAATATTCCGAGAAATGAGTGAATTCTGACGAATATTGTCTCAAAACTCACCAAAGAACATCCCATATTTTGGGGGGTTTTCATTGAAGTCTATCAAAAATTAATTGATTTAAAAATTTGTAACTTTTTTGTTTATTGATGGATTTCAAAATGTCAAAAAGTTCCATTCTCTGTGGAGATACAGCTACAAAATGCACCTATTTGCACTTTCTGACAAAAAAAGGTTTTTCGTGGTCTTTGTTACATAGCAGAAAGCACACAATGGCTGCATTTCTTCTTCACAGTAAAAGTTAAGTATTGCCCTCCCATTTGGAACTGCTTCAAGACCCTGAGTGCAACATCTACGGTCACATGGGGTTCATGCTATGTCTTGCAGGAAGAGAAAACTGGGCTGTGATCACCATAATGCATGAAGACAGGGGGGGGGGGGTACACTTACTTTTACCCCCTTCACAACATCTTTTTGAAAAATGCACACAACTTCAAACAACAATATCTATTCCATCGATCCATACTTACAACTTGAAAGTAAAAGGTTTTTTTTAAAAAACAACCCAAAACGATACTCTCAAGGCAATACCAGTGACTACAACATCAACAGTATATCAACAACCAATGGCAGTTGGATTGGCAACTAATAAACGCACAAACTTGTAAATTTAAAAAAGTTAAGATGGAACACATTTGTGGTGAGCATTGTTTGATCATAAAATTATCATAATCAGCGGCGTGCAGTGATATAAAAACATGGCAGCACTGGTGTGGCAAACAAACTATGACGGCTCAGCAGCACATCCAGCTACACTGTTAGAAAGGGGGAAAAAACTTTGTGTATGTGAACCTGGGTAAAAAAAAAAAAATTTTTATACTACTCGATTTAAAGTGAAAATGCTCTCATATTTCTATCCTTATTTCCGTACCAGTAGCTTTCTATTTGCTGAACACACAAATATAGAGAATGGTCAACTTGACAAAAACTATAAAGCTCTAAAACTTTTGTCTTTTCCAAATTTGTCCACACAACAGTTTTGTTAGATACTAATATTTTAATTCGAAGAATAGTATGATAAGCGCATTTTTTTCCATCGAACTAAATGACAAATTAGACATTTTCACCCAATAGGGCACATATTACAACAGTGAGGGCCACGTGAGAATCATGTGGAAAGAGACAACAAAGCAGTTGACTTTTGAGTCATTTCAGGGATGAACTTATAGTCCATTTACCACCAAAAGGATGTTTCATTAGACAAAATATAGATCACTTACATAAACATTACAGGGACCTTGGAATCAGTTCTAAAGTACTGTAATACAAAGCAGTCACAAGAACTACAAGATGAAGTTATGGGGCTTGCTCAAGCAACTTTAATCAAGCAAAGCAAAACCGTCAAAGTCAAAGCAGCTTGTGAGACTGAAATAGCTGGCATGGAACATAAGTTTCACCGTCATACATAAAATCCTTCATAACTATAGCTGATCACCAAGGTCAACAAAAAAGCATTTGAGAGGGGGGGGGAAGGAACCAGTGTGTAAAAATGCTACAGGAGACCCCACCCACTTCACAACACCACATTATTCCACCAACAAGCGCCTTCATGCTACTTCAGCTGTCCCTTTGCACTTAGAAAACAATTCAGAAGTACTGGCAAAAACGACTGGATTTCAAAAGATTCAACATTTTACCGACCACAAAATATTCGGAGAGTTCCGACATGTCAGAAATGGAATGATGCCCAAAGTGGTGACACAGCAACCACAAGCGACCTTTAGCCCAAGGAAAGACATTCATTGTGTGTAGTTTTTTTTCCCTCTCAGGCAATCTTTCGCTTGCATTCATTCCTGTAACTTGACATCGTTACTACAACTGGAACCAGCGTCATTCCCAGCCCCACTGCTGCCTTCCTCTTCTTCCACCTCCACCACCTGAAAAGTAAGGAGAAAATGTCAAATACATCCTGTGCAACAAAAAAAAACTCAACCCAATATGAAATACCCTCATAATAAACTTTCCAGATCTGATTTTTGGGGTTTCCCACCAGATCTTGTCTGTGTTTTGAAAGAACACATTTTTTTTTTAAATAAAAAATTCTGACCTAGACAACTACTAATGTGAGGAAATTTTTTTTTCACAAGAACATTCCCAAAGATCGAAGTACATTACAAGACAAAATATTACATTGCAGGATTACAATGTAATCGTACAAAGCATCATCTTATGGTCCATAGAAAAAAAAATAGAAAGAAAGAAAAAAAAGATCAACAACTGAACCAAACTGTAGATTTCAATGCTGTGTGTGTTTGTCATATTGTCGCCTCAGAACTATTTCACCCAAAGTTCACTTTTGTTCAAAATCAAAACAATTGAGTTGCTTTTCTAAAGTCTTTTTCCCCCCCCTCCAAAGTAGAAAAACCAAAGACGCATGCACATATCATACACAGGTAACACGTCACAACAACCAAACTCCCTGGGTCATCAAACTCACTTTGAAAAGACCCGACTCCTCTGGTGACTTCGAAGACTTTGCCTGCTCACTTTGACATTTCTTTGATTTGGAAGTCCTTCCTGTGGAGGGGCTTGATGTCTTCTCTTTGGCCACATCAGGTTTCTCACCTCTCACTGAGAATGAAAAAGGCCAGAAATAAATCCCAAGACAATTCAATGCTTCCAACTGAGAGCGTACTTTTCCAAGAAATAACCTTTACGTGCGTTTTTTGTTTTAATTTCCAAGATAGCAGCAGGTACCAGAGTAAACAATGAGATTATAGAAGGCGAATAGGCATAATATCCCTTCAGCACCACATAAGCATAAAAACTTGAAATTACTTATTGATTGTACTGGAAAGTCGATCTCTACTTTACAATAGTATTTAATGAAAATGTAATACAAAGCAAGGTCCCACAAAAAGTTTCTGGTTCCCTCCCTCACCTTCGGCCCATTTTGCATACAAGTCTGAGCGGTCAAGCAAAGAGTTCATCTCCGCCTGGCTGATGGTGAAGTTTCCACTGCTGACCTCCCGCTCATGGTCCTTAGACTTCAACAAGTCCCGGAGCTCCTCAGGGCTGATCGGCTTGGCTTTTGTCATGAAGTTGCCGCTCTTGAACTTGCCTGTAAACAACCAAATATTTTTTTAATGAAAATTATAGGAAGGAGCAGATACTGACAAAAATTTTCTTAAACTCACAACTTCAAAATTGCATTGAAAATCAAAAGTATTGATTAGTGAAATAGATTTTCAGTACTTTTTATTTAGTCATTTTTATTACCAGTCTCTACACTGACATAACAAATTTTCATTCAACCTGAAGAGTCTCAAAAATCAACCCTTTCTTTCATTCATTTTTAAAATAGCTTCATTCAAACCTATACACAAAGAGAAAGCATTGGTTCCAGTCCCAAATGTCATTGATTTTTAACTGTGCATCTGATCTTGTTTACTGTGCATCTGATCTTTCACCACTTTCTCTATGCCACTTTTCCCTCCCACCTTTCTTTTATTTATTCCACCTTTCTTTCATTTATTCTCTCTAACAGTCGCGTTCCCCTGAGGTGACCAAAAATCAAACTATTTTTTGCAAAAAATCTTTTGCAAACAGATTTTTTGCAAACAGATGAAAATATTAGCTATATGCAAGTAGGAAAATGGACATTGACATAATGCATTTAAACACTACAGAGGTGACTCCTCTTGTGGATTGACTAGTAACCCTTTCATTCACAGGCAGATGGCAACCACTGACAGCAGATGATAACCAGTCAAACATTTGTACCTTTGTGAATGATCATCTTCTCCAGCTTCCTTTTCGCTGCAGCCCTTTCAATGATCTTCTGGTCGATGGTGTTTGCAGTGACAAAGCGGTAGACAACAACGGGCTTGGTCTGACCAATCCTGTGACACCGGTCCTGGGCTTGCAGGTCACACTGGGGGTTCTACCAAACCAAGACAGACAAGACAATTTTTTTACAAGAAATATTCTATACGCTTGATTCATCAATTATGTTTCTAAGTTGAACATGAACATATTATGTTATTATTTTGCATATAAAAATAATAAGATTTTAATTCAAAGAGAAATGTATGTAATTGTTTTTTTCTTTAAATTTGCTTCATAAAAAAAGAGGAGCTGCTTGGAATATACACTGTGCAATTTTAGTATTCAATTTGAATGTTCTCTTATTTGAAGAAAAATAGATTGGTGCGTTTAAGACGTAAAGATAATGAATGGGCTCATACCATGAACGCTCCCCTCTGAAAATTCAACCCAATAAAAGTGGAAAATTTTAGGTTCCCAATTCTGAAAGAAAAGAATGCAGTTCTATTTATTCGCAGTAACCAGTAATGGAACAGACATTTTCGTGTTCAAAGAAGCACTTTGCATTTCCTTAATTCCTTATCTCCAGCCCCCCCCTGCTCCTCTTGGCCGGAACCATTCCTTTACGACAACTTTGACAATGAAAACAGGTTTAGTTAATTTTATGATATTTTAGTGAGGTATATATGTCACTTTTAGATTCAGCACCAAAAGAGAGCACCTGCACAGTGGGTTTATCCCCCTCGGAGTAATATTATATAGATTATAGAACCCAAAGAGCTTGCTTTTGAGCAAAGACATGCACCATGCATGCTGTTATTTATTCATTATCATTATCACATTTTGACAAAAGACCGTAAGCAAAACTAGACATTTTAATCACTTTGGTTTCATAATAAACACACACAATGAAAAGGCACTGGAAAATGATAAATACTCCACATTCGATTTTTCAAGCAATCTACAGATAACGCAAGCTCAAACTAAGAGAACTAGATACAGTCGAACCTGTATAAGACGGAGTCGCAAGGGAGCCAGAAAAAAAATCCGTCTTAGACACGGGAATTTAGGGGGGGGGTTCAAAGGTCCTTCCGGTGGGATCAAGGATCGTTTGTCCAATCGGCAAGCAGTGGTCAAAACTTCACACCTCTCAGCTGCTATTACGTCTGATAATGACATGCGTCAGTCTTACTTATCCAATTATCACCAGTGATAGCCTTTCACAGGACCACTGTTTGACCTATTAAAAACAGAAACGTTTGAACATCTTCTTTGCTCCCACCCTTAGCCCCACCCATCGGTGTAACAAGCACAATCAACCAATGCCACCCCTCACTACCATGTAACGATTCGAGGAACTCTTTTCTTGGCTGGCTGTAGGATAGAGTTGGGGCGAGCGGACAGACGGGTTCGTTACTCACGAAAGGTCAGAGTGAATGGGTAACGGACAGCCTGCGAGCAAACTGCGAACCTCAAGACAGTTAGTTTTTTGGGTCCGTTCCACAATTTGACTCTCTCAGCGAGCGGACTGTGGACCTCAAGCCAGTTCGTTTTTTGGGTCCCCTCCACAATTTTATTCACTGAGCAGGCAGGCGAACGGACGAACTCTAGCAGACGAGATACTCGACGCAAGGTTAGACCCGTCGTCTATTGTTTGTTAATTATGCCTAACGTTTCAAACCACTAGCGGTGCCACAGGGAGTGAGAGAGGCTGGTGACGTAGTACTATGAGTGTAACCTTTCACCTCGTGTGCAGGCACACTGTGTACGTTCCAATTATCACAAAGGCCGGGGGGAGGGGGGAGAAATTTCTGCCATGAACGCCTAGCTACAATGTGGGGCAGGAGGGTGATTTTTTAATTATTTTTTTGGGGGGGTGGGGGGGCTGTAAGTAGTATGCAATGGAAGAAGTTGCTCCCCATCCATCCGCCCGCTCGAATGCATGGTGTCTCTCTGTCCGCTCGCTGAACGAACTGTTGTCTCTGTCTGATGTGTAGTGAGTAGCGAACTACTCTTCACAAGCAGACGGTTCATTACCCGTCTGCTCATTCGCTAATTCACACCCACATTACCCTGACCATCTGCATCGCTCAGGGCTCACATGATGGGGTAACATCTACCCCCGAATTGCACCCCTACTCCTCTTCCTCGCCCAGCGGCATGGCCATACCGTTAAGTTTAGAGCTGGCCGAATCAAACTTGCAAGTTTTGTTTCAAATCAGGGTTGAGCGGGAAAAGCATTTTTCGTCTTAGACAGGTGAAACCCTCGGAAGGGAGCGGATTTTTCTTTTCGTTTCCGAGTTGGCCAGGTTTCCGATTTATACAGGTAATTAAAAAGGAATATATCAAGGGGGGAGCGGGGAAATTCCGTTAAGAGAGGTTTCCGTTAAGGCAGGTTCGACTGTACTTTGATATGAGAAGCCCTTTATATAACCGCAAGACATCTATCCCCTCCCCCACAAGTGTAACACCATCACCATAAAGAGGCGTTAAGACATTGAAAAGGCACCCAAAGAGAATAAATACTTGAAGAGAGATAGTGACAGCAAGTCTTTCAAAAATATACTAATTCCATGTTTTCACAATAAATTAACACATTGAAAAAGCACTAGAAATGAATACATTTCGGAAAATGAGTCTTACCCAGTCACTGTCGTATATAATCACTGTGTCAGCTCCTGTAAGGTTGATGCCCAGACCACCAGCTCGTGTGCTCAGGAGAAACAGAAATTTCTCTTCTGAGCCACTTCCATTGAAAACATTCATCTGGAGAAGAAAGATGAAAATTCACTAAACGTCAGTACAAAACGTCCTCAATCCAAAAAAAAAACCCCACCTTTCATTCTTTTCTTCCCTTCTGTTGTTTCCGTCTGTCTATCTCACTTTTTTGCCTAGCACTTTGAGGCTTTTGTCATGTCCACATGCCCCTTTTTACTCAAATAAAGATAAAAGTGAGGATTTCATATTCAAGATCTACTCCACTGCAAAATAGTTCTCCCCAATGAGAAATAAAACATAGGCTTTTAGAAGAAAACGCTGAAGGGTCTAACCATCCCACCATGCACCGCCCAAGGGGGTTCAACATCTACATCTTTTAGAAAAATGCACACAACTTCAAACGAGAATATTCATTCCACGGATCCACACTGACAACTTGAAAGTTAAAGTTAAAAAACAACCCGAAACGGAACTCTCATAGCAGTACGAGTGACTCCAACAATGGAAGCCAAGTGTTCTTTCAGGATTCTTGGTTGTTGAGTACTTGTCTCAGACTCTTGGGTGGAATCTGTCAAATGCACAGTTCCCATCAGAGGGGCAAGATTGGTTACCCAACATGTCCAACCAGACAACAAAAAATCTGCCCATCATATTTCCCTGGCAAAGTTCCACTTTACTAACATCTGCAAGTGCACTTTCATTACTTCGCTCTGCCCACGGGTTTCAATATAGGGTGTGGTGGGCAAAGCTTGTCCTCTGACCTGAGGAATTATCTAAGAGCTTTAACAGAAAAAAAAAGCATTGAAAGCTGTCAAATACAGCTGGCATCAAATCTGTCCCCCGCATTGCTTTTATGAAAATACAGGATTAGAAAGTAGATCTGAGTTAAGATTACTTGAGCTACCCCCTTAAAGAAATAAATTAACCAGTTATATTAGCAACATACACTGTCACGACGGTCATCAACATTTGTGCTCCCATCAAGCCTGCAGAACCCGTAACCGCGCAGTTGGCAGAAGTCTTCAATCAGGTCCAGCATACGAGTCATTTGACTAAAGATGAGCACCTGAGGACGAGACAAAGAGTTCAGATCTGAGAGCTGCTGGTGACTTGTAATTTTCCCTGGATCAGCACTGTAATGTCCATTACCATAAGGCAAACCATTAGGTCTCTATTGCCTTAGTAACTAGGAAACCTGGCAACTGGTAACCACAGGCAACTTATAACCAAGCCACGTAAGAGGTTACGTAATTGTTGTCTTGGATACATAGAACCTAGAGAAGAGAAATTTTTTTTAAGCGTTACATCCACCGGAACAGTGTGTCTGGCTCCCCTGCTCTATTTTCAATGGCTGTCTAGATGTTGTGATTGTGATGTCCTGATTGTACAAGCACGACTTGAACGCCACTTTGAACCAGGAATGGATTTAGAAAAAATTACAACTTTTTCTTCCTCCTTGACAATACTGAAAAGTAGGAAGAGCAAACAACACTTAAATATCTGGTCGCAGAGACATCCTTAACTCTCTCCACACCACATACTGCACACTGCACCACCAGTCTATGATATGTTTAAGTGATAATATAATTATCAATAGACCGACTTAAAAAAGACATTTTTACCTTTTCCTTTTCTTCAACCTGACAAAGCCTGTGTTAACGTCAATTTTATGCCTCTGCTCAATTTCAGACAACTTCATAAGTCAAACACCACTGTGTTCTTGATTACGAACGTCAAAACAAAACAGGACAGTTCCCTAACAACACAAAATACTGGTAAATTTCAAGTCAATGTCAAAGATAGAATACTTTTAGTTTTGTACGCTTGGGGCATAAAAGACTAAGAATAGTCTTTTAATTGCAAATGTCTCATCTCAATCCACCATTAGACAAAGCCAGGTATAAACAACAATACAATGAACACACACACGGGAATCACAGACTAGAAAGACAAACATGAGTTCAAAAATTACTCGCTTACCCTGTGACCCCTTTTCTTCAGTTCTTTCAGCATCTTATCAAGCACAAGCATTTTGCCCGAGGTCTTGACCACGCCCTCGGTCAATGCCAGGTCTCCGGTCGATGGGTCCAGGGGGTGCTCCAAAAGATAAGGGTGGTTGCAACACTTTCGCAGCTGCATCATCACACTGCGCATCTTGATGGTCACCTGCGACGTCTTCTGCTTCCCGGACCGACTGCTACTGAAGACAGTGAGCAACATCATCGAGACCTCTCTAATTTTCATTTTCAATTTTGTAGTGAAGAGAAGGACAGCGCCACAATGACAGTCAGTGTTAGGAAAAGGCAAGAAAAATGGGAAAAAACACAACAACATAAGGACAAAGATGAAATACGCCCCTTCCTATCATCAACGGGACATACACCTTATTAGCGCGGCATCTCAATAAGGTATTGCCAAAAATATGGCTAAAAAGATGAAAATAAATATAATAGTTCATCAACACTGAATCAAAATGCAGAGACGAGATGACAAACAAGTGAAAACCATGAAGGGAATAAGTTGCTTTACACCCAAACAACTCAAAACAGAATACACAGAACTAATTAATTGGATTCAATAATAAATAATGTGCTATGCACAGCTTTCCTGCACACTAATTCTTTAGTCTAGGGTAAAGACATCCTTATGGGAAAAAAAGACAATGGATTAAGTTTGCTTTTTTTGTATGAAAGGGTCATTATCATTCCCACAGCTGATTCTAGCTAGTTCTCTATAATCTAATAAGATCGGGCAAATCCATCAACTTACTCCGAGTCTGAGTTCCTCTGGTCACACACGGCCTGCACCCAGCATTCTAGATCCAATTCTTCCTCTTCTAGACGCTTCCAACGCCTGCGTCCTTCTCCTTTGTCTTCTCTTTCATTCCTCTTTTTGTCAGCATCCGACTCCATCATCATATTGTAGTCGATCTTCTTGGATGACCTTCTCTTGGGTCGCCCTGTGGCAGTCAGTTCCACCTTCTCCTCAACTTTCTGCAAGATACAACAATACAGAGTGGGTGGTTGGTGGGTGCTTTGGAGTGGTTTGCTCCTTCTTCATTACTAAATATCTAAGATCCTTACCTATCCGTCTTTTCTCTGTATGTAACTCTTCAACCACTTCTAATCTTTGGCACTTTTATGACCTACATGTATTTAAAACATAGAGTATTACAAAAATAATATGCAACTAGAAAAAAACAATTTTAATAGTTTCTGTAACAAAGATCATAAAAAGCAACAATCACCTTAATACCAAGGGTTCAATCAATGATACCCAGGAATCACAATCAGACAATCATGAACCTTATGACGAGAATTTTTTTTTCAAGTCTCCAATACGTGAAATCATTTGATAAAACAAGACAGCTGCCAACAATTTCACACACACACACACACACAAAGTAATAAAAAATAAAAAGTAAGCCTTTGTTTTAAAAAAAAAAAAATATAGACCCTTTCAAGAATGTTGAAGTGTATTATTCTCTCACAGGTCACCATCAAGAACCCTCCTTTACAACAACTGGTCCATTTTAACCCCTTCATTGCAGAAAAGTTTCCATCAACATCGGTACCGACAAGATGAAATCACGTTATTTCAAGGAATAGATCTATTTCGATACAAAGAATTGTTTCTGAATAAGCAAAATCACAAGCTGTAACTGTATCAACTAAAATTTCTTTTGAGAACCAGAAGAAACAATGTAAGTGGAGAATACAACCCAGATCATACGTCTACTCAGCAATGAAGAGTTTAAGGACAAGCGGGCTAACCCAGATTTCGGTGGTTTCCAGAAATGTTGACCGGCACCAAAAGTGGGTATTGCCCTACCTATAGGAGAAGTTTGGTTTCATTGGTGAGTATATTTGTTTGGTTATAGAGAAAACTCTCCTTGTCTTTTAAAGAAACTGAACAAGGGGCAAAAACTTTACTTTCAATTTTCTCAAAACAGCATTTTCAGGATAGCCCCCTCGAGCTTAAAAGCGATCAACTATCACGTACATTCTTTTCTTCAATCATACTGAAGATGGTGCGGTTGACCAGAGCTTCATAGTACTCTTTCTGCTCTGGGGTGAGGGGAGCATACACCAGGACTTCTTTCTTTGGGGGTATGCACAGGTCCACATCAGACTTGAGGCGCCTCAGCATAAATGGCGACAGGATCTGGGTGAAAAGCATAGCAGTTATTTAGCTATGCTGATCCAGTACATTCCCATGGGTCAGACTTTAGGTAACCGTTGCAGATTTATTTCTGGACTATATAAGAATCTATGTAACTTACTTTTTCTAACTTCTACAACCTTATTTCTGGATGAACACAACAATTAAACTTGGCACCAAAAAAAAAATAAAATAAAGCAGGATAATCAAATGCAGACAGTAACCTTTCTATGCATGAATTATCCTGTATTCTTTAAGTCAGAAACACTTTCTCATCAGACGTTTCATTAACAAAAAGAAGCTGAATTCTTAACTTTGACAAAGTGAGAAGTATATCCTTCTATAGTAACCTAAAAAAGGAAGGTTTTACATTCAACACTTGTTTTGGAATTATCAAAAAAAGTGCCTCTACCTCTGCACCCTCTCCCCTCCCCCTTTTTTTTTCAACTCGGCCATTTACAGTTTTCTGAGTTTAGAGGTTCTGCGTGAGAAGCGAAGGATAGTAATGGTAGTATCTTGGCAAATGAAAAAAAATATTGACATATTTCTAGGAGAAACATGAAATGCAAAGCTTAGCAATGATGTCTTCTCAGCTACTGAATAACACAAGACAACTGCACAGATAGTTCAAAATTGAGATCCCTTCAGCCCGTTGCTATTTAATAGTTATTTTGTTCAAAACAACCCATTCAGTAGACATATCTTTTTGACAAGGTTAGCTTGGACACTTGCACATATATAGGTAAGCAAAAACACTAGTTCTCTGTATGTCATTATTGTATGCAAAACTTTTTAGCACAAGTAAGTAAAACGATAAACATTTTGTTTCGCCATAGGCGAGGAATAAAGCACACGTGAGAGGGGTGTAAAAAGATGTGTCAAACCGTAATGAAAAAATCCTAAATCGTATATTGTTTTATGCATCTTGTACAAAGACTGTTTTTATATAAAGGGCAATGTGAAATGTAAAAGAGAAATTAAAATATAAATGAAAGTGCAAACAGGCGTAAAAAATTCCACACTTCAAGGAATCTGGATTTTCCTGAAAATCAGCACATGCGTGTATAAAAGGAGAGAGAATATAGCAAGAAGAGATGTTTGCAGATTTAAAAATTAGTAACTTTTCAGCCTTCAAAATACCTGGTGCAGCATGCCCAGGATATTTGCTCCCTGTTCCTGACGCACAATTCGCTCGTCGGAGTCTGCGTCATTCATGCATCGGACATCAAACCAGGCCTCAAAACTGGGAATAATAAGTACAATCCATTTTTTTTAAAACAATAGAAATGAAAAGAACTGTACTTCAACCATCTTCAAGTAAAAGAATGTCGCAAAGGTTGTTCTTGAAAAAGTTCATTTACATCATACAAAAATGTTCTTTCAATATAAGGAGTTTTTGGTACACTGACCCATAGATAACCAAGGCAAAATAAACAAAACTTAAAACAGAGATTCTCAAGGAAAGTGAAAAAAAAATCTATCAAATAACTCTCAAATCACATTTGCCCTATTCATTCATGTGCTGGCCATCACACTCCAACTATAAAAAAAAATTTATTTTAAAAAATAAATAAATGCTAACCAGAAACAGCATAATTCTACCATTTCAATATGACTTTTTGTTCTCTATATTCATGTGCATTCATTATACAGAAACAAGCAGTTGAAGTAAATGTAAACATGTCTCATGTAAGCACAGAACCCATTTATTAACTGTGGGCTTGGGAGTCTTTCTGCCAAGAGCCAGGGTACCTACTTCCCACAAGCAGGTATGATGTGACCTAACCACAACCCTTGGCTTTCCCTTGTTATACACTCAAATACCAACCACAAAGCTACAACGGTGATGAAACACTGTGTGTTGAAGTAAATGTAAACATGTCTCATGTAAGCACAGAACCCATTTATTAACTGTGGGCTTGGGAGTCTTTCTGCCAAGAGCCAGGGTACCTACTTCCCACAAGCAGGTATGATGTGACCTAACCACAACCCTTGGCTTTCCCTTGTTATACACTCAAATACCAACCACAAAGCTACAACGGTGATGAAACACTGTGTGGTGCCTTTTATCAAACAAGAATTAACACTGATGCTTACCATACCTGTAGTACAAAATATACAAGAATAATGCCAGACAGCCTAAGATTGATATGGTCTTTATTTTGTAATTGCAACTGAATAGGTTCAATGTCCTGCCCCTTCCAAGCTAATTAATTGTTAAAGAAGCAGGACTTCCGTAGTTAACATCCATCTCCGATAAGATAGACCCATGTGGATGGAGCTTTGAAAACTCCCAAAACAGCCTAAATTCAAGAACACCACTTTGGGAATGAAGCAGGGCCATGTGCACCACATCCCTTTGGTACCAAATGGGTTCATGTCGCACCCATAGTTCCATTTGAGCTAGTATATGCATTTTGAGACTACTGACAGCTGAGACTATGATCGTAACCAAATCATTCATACACCCATAGAAACAAAAGAAAGAGTCTCTCAGGATTACCTTCCTAGGTCATCAAAAATCTCTGGCAGAAGGAAATTTAAGAGTGACCATAACTCAGCCAGACTATTCTGCAAGGGTGTGCCAGTCAGCAGCAGTCGATGGGTGGAGCGGTACATTCGGAGTTCTCTGTCGATTACATCAACATTTGTTAGTTTGAGTAAAGGAGAAGCGCATAGATACAATAACTGTCATTTCATGCTTGGAAAAAGCAAAACAGTCATACACAGAAACAAAAGGGAAAGGAAAAAAGGTAGGACCTACCAGAAGCATCCTGCAACCACACACATATTAACATGTAGATCTGCCAACAGTTCCATGACTAAAAATAGGGGTTTTCATCAGAATCCTCACAAAAAAAAGGAATTTAGGGGGGGGGGGGTGAATTCAGTCTCAGGAACCCCCAAACCCCCAAAGAATAAGACTGCATTAAAAAATTGACAGAGGCGAATAAAAGTATATTATTACAAATGTAAATCACAATGTGTTTCTTCAGATCATTTACTTTAAGATGCACAAATATTGCAAATAAATGCATATAAAATGGTCCCATACAATCTAATGGAAACAGAATTCAAGTGAAAAAATATATGAAAATACAATTGGGTTTCTTTTGCCTGCAAAACAAAACAAAAAAATCACAGAATTGGTCAACTCCAATTTTATCAGAGTACTTTGCAGGTCTGCCTATGGGAAAACCAATCAAGAGAATTGGAAAAAGTTACCTTATGAGTCTGCAGTGAGTATTTTTGATCCTGTGTCCTTCGTCGACGATGAGATATTTCCATTCGTGGTTGCTCAGGTACTTGCGATCGATCATGGCGATCTCGTAGGATGTGATGACCACAGGCTGCACCTTGACTCCCTCTCGCACTTCGTGTTTGCGGAAGATCCGCTTGCACAGGTGAGCCCGTCTGTCCTTGTCTCCATGATAAAGGACTGTCGGTACCTGTATAAGTTTTAGTTTTAGTAGAGGTTTTACGGCGCTCGCAACTGCATAAGGTCATATGAGCGCCAAAAGATTAGAGGTGTTACAGGAGAGTAACATAGGCCTACATAAAAAAAGAAGAAGGGGAGATAAGGACGATAGATGTTTCATAGGAAAGAAGAAGCAAACCACACCAGAGCACCCGCCAACCACCCACACCTGTATAATTAACAATAAAAAGAAAAATAATAATAATAATGATAATATATAGCATTTATATAGCAGATATCCACACTCTACAGCATGAGCTTTACATTTACAACTTCATGTATATTACTCCTGAACACTCGGAAACATTCTCGACCTCCAGGGGGAAAATACAGTACAAGCTGTAGACTACAAGCTCTAAAACATCAATAATAAACTGACAAGATCTTCAACTGTCTGTGCAGCCAGGTACCCATTCCCACTTAGGTGAAATGAGGAAAATTCATTTAAAGTGTCTTTCATAAGGACACTCCAAGCAATACTGATGCTATGAGAGAAACCTGTATTAAAACAGCAGCACCAGTCAAAGTTCATGTCAGACCACTGCTGCACTGGGAAAAAGAAAGCTACACTGAAACAACAAAGGGACAACATATTTGCAAAGTAAGACATATGAATAGTACTTCTTACCATCCAAACTTCATACAGGCCATACAAAAAAAACTACTATTAAAACAGTCTAAAGTACATTGATACGTTAAACTGTTGAGATCAGACTTTCGATTCAAATAATCAAGGTTTACCACTGTGTCCATACAAATCTCACCGTGCACCTCAGTTTTGGTGAAATACCTTTCAAAACTCATTTTATCGCTTTCTACATTTAATTGCCTGAAATCGGAAGCAAAATATCTAAACAGAAATAATCGATGGGTAAATGAAAACAAAAATATAGTTGGAAAACCATCGACAAGCCATTGTTTAGATGGGTATTCTCGTCCGCGGTTCTGGGGAAGCAGTCAGGCTCCGCAAGTATACTCGTCCGTGGTCCCGTTGGTGTTAACATACATGAGTAATCATCCTCACCAACAAACCTTAAAAACAAAGGGCAGCCATGACAAAACAGGAACCTATACAGACCCTGTAATGGAAGAAAAACTAGCAACAAAGTGGAGAAAATGCTCATTGGCAAAAATAAGGCATGCATACAAACCTTTGGTGCAAACCTCTGGAACTCTGCAAACCAGTTTGGAATGGTAGAGAGTGGTGCACACACCAGGAAGGGTCCAGGGATGCCCATGTACACCAAGTGAGACAAGATGGCCACACACTGGACAGTTTTACCCAGACCCATCTCATCAGCTAGGATGCCGTTGACACCATTCTCGTACAAAACCTGCAACGGAAAACAAGAGTAAGTTATCCGGTATTGATCTAACCTGCGCTGGAAAGCAAGGGACTATCCTTTACTTTAAAATTGAGAATATCTATATTGACTTAATAAATGGTACATAGACATTAAAAAGTTATGATCAGTAACCAAAAAAAGAACTAACAAAACGATCCACACGTCCTGCTTAATAAGCGCAGGCTCTACCGTCAATCAGTGGCTCTTAAATGATCCCTGTAATAGGTCATCCTCAGAAATGTAGTTTCCGGGATATTTCCAGTTGCCCAAAAACATGAGACTTTTGGAATTTGTTATTCTTCTTCTGCCCTCCCTGTTTACCCATCAATCTTTCCAGTCAAAGTAGGATTTTTACAAGTTCTTGTGATGGTATACCCATCAACAAAATTGCAGTAGTCCCCAAAAGCTTTTTTCAAACATTTAGAGTTCGAATTTCAACAAAATATTTCTTGAACACATGCAAACAATACCACAGGTGAAGAAACTACAATAATAAAAAAAATTCAAAATTTTGGACTGCACTGTTAATACCTACACATTGGTCACATAAGCACAAGGAGGCTATCTCGAAAAATGCTGTTTTGAGAAAATCAAAGGAAAAGCTTTAGCCGCTTGTTCATTTTTTTTTAAAGACAAGTAGAGTTTTCTCTACAAACAAACAAATATACACACCAAGGAAACCAAAACTTCTCTAATAGGAAAGGTAACGCCCACTTTTGACGTAGTTCAAGATTTCTGGATACCTCCGAAATCTGGGTTAGCCTGCTTGTTCTTAAAAGCGACCAATTATTGTTACTAGAATGGTTTCCTCACCTTGAGCCAGCTATAGCCCTCCACCTGGTACTGTCTCAGCACGCCTCCCTCCATGAGCTTGGGCTGGAGGAAAGGGACCAACTCTCCATTGATTTTTCTCACTTCATTTCCTTCTTCCTGTGGATAGATTTAATTTCTTTTTAAAGTTAAAATCACAGAAACTCATGAAGACCATCAGAAAATTGAAAATGAAAAGATAGCCAACATAAAAGCTATGGTCAGGTCTAAAACAGATTGGAGTAGCAATGCAAATCGGGTTTTCCCGCGCTGCGAAAATTTGGTCCCCGTTTGCGGGTGAAATTTTGGACCGGGTCGTAGCTTGGGTGATTAACTTTCTCAACCTCGGTCTACTCTATTTCTGGACCAATGTGAATGAAACACAGCAACCAATCAGAAAATAGGGCAAACTAATGATATGTGGATGTTGAAGTTTGGTGTCGCGAACACTTTCGTATCGGGTGTACCAAAAACTATAAGGAGCTTGAATTTTTATGCCGAGATGGTAATAGATCTATCTTACCTCTATAGCAAGCTCAAATTTCAACGTTCTGTGTCGAGTCGTTGTTTAGACCCGATCTTAAAAGCACGACTACCCCCCTATCCAAAGCGGCTTCGCAAGGAGACCACCCATTTTCCCCTCACTCTCGCAGCAAATGTATGTGACCTACAAATCCCTGCATGACTATTCCAAGCCCGTTCATTGGTCACTTGAAAATAGGGCAATGGCGCGCGCGCGCATCCAGTTGTTTTTCTCTCTGTTCCCCTGTTACATCGCAAAGGGGGTATTCCGAGGCGAGCTCATCTCGCCTCGGGCAGAGATGCCAACCACAGCAAACCGAAATGAGTACTGGGAAATATGAAAATGTGTATTTTCAAGGGGAAATGTGTATTCCCCACGACCGACCGACCAACTAGTAAAATGTTCAGGGGGTCCAGCAATATTTCCTGAAAAAATTTTTCCAGCTCATCAGCTCGAAAAAGGGAGCACACACACGTACAATATACATGTATCCAGTCAACAGCACGTCAGTGTTCAGTGTCGTACTGGGGTCTTGTTTGACTTTATTTCAGTCTATTAAAATATTTTCCTTTCATTATTATATAAAAAAATTAATCCTGCTTTGAGCGTTCGGAAGGGCCTAGAACAAAAATTTCGACAATCAAGAACCAGTCTGGGTGTCATGATTCATATTATGAACTGACAGACTAAAATTATTGCTCAAACTCAAAGAAGAGCAATAACTTGAATGGCTCAAGTAGACCCGTGCACTGTGAGAGTTGTGACAACTGTGGTAGGGCAAGATGCAATGACACTGAAAATCTGCCAGTCTTGAACCGAAAGTTACAACATACACTGTAGGTGTAATTTACTATCACCCATCCAATGAAACGTGAACACTTTATTTCAATAACACAGACTTGCAAAGAATGAAGGGTCCCGATTCCGCACACGGCCTGCACCAACGTGCGCTTTGCAGAAAGCTCTAGATCTAATCAAAATTCTGAAATTTGCTTCCAAGTTTTTGTCCTCTGGTGTTGCCTTCCCACCACCCCCCAAGTGTACCTTTTAAAAAAAAAATCAATAATCCCCTCCCCTATTCCGTAGTCCTATACTTCACAACGCCGTTACTCCCACCAATGACTCGGGGTGTTCACGTCTCCACAGGGAAAAAGAATTCTCCACACGGAAAAAGAATTTTTAATTGTACGGCATTTTAGATTGAATTGACTTATCTTTTAATGTTGGCATGGTCTAAAGTCATCAAGGAAAGCTTTGCCATTATTTAGTAACGCTGCCAACATATATTTTTAAAGATTCCATGTTGTGATAAGATGCTGTAAATAAAATGGACTCATCCCGACACCCCTTTTTCGCAAAATCGTAATATGTACACTAAAATTTTAATTATAACAAAATAACTACGAAATGGTTAGTAAATCTGACGGCAGAAATGATTTCTCAATCCAAAAACACATCGGGAAGCAAAGCAAAGTTTCTCTCTAATTCTCCAATTAATTACCGAGATATTGTCGATTATCTTACAGAATCTGCTAGTGCATGGTCCACTGTTTAGGGAGTATTTTCCCTATATATGTGGGTCATCCATATTTTGCCGACCTTTACAACCCATTATTTATTCTTAAAATTCAAGAAGCATAATTCTTACAATTGAAAATTCTTTCTTTGGTACTAAATTTTAAAAAGTGCTAAAGCAAAAAATTAAATTTTCATTGGCATTGCTAGATTGGAAGTGCCATTTGCAACTATCACAAAAAGTATCTTTTCTTACAAAAATACAAAGGAAGGAAAATTTAGAACGATGAGGCCTCAACTAATATCATCTTTTTAATACAACATGTCCTTAATTCAAAACAAGTATTAACTAATTAACATCTGGTCATTTAGAAATCAATCAAACACTGATATATTTACACTTTCTGCACATGTCATAATTCCCAGAAATGACATGTATTTATACATAAATCACTACAATCTTCTGACCTCTAGAACTCCAAACGTTGAAGCTTTCTCTAAGAGCTGTGGTTCTTCGTCCATCTCTTCTTTAGAGTCTCCTGACTCAGCAGACTGGACTGGGCTTTCTGGGTCTTCTTGCTGCTCCTGAAAGTAAGGTTTTATTTGTCTGAGTAAAGAGAAGCACATAAACACAATAATAGTTATTTTGTGCCAAGAAAAAGTAAGACAGACATAAAAAAAAGAGTACGTAGTCTAAAACAGCCGTATGCACTGCTCACAGCAGAACGCTCTGTAACCTGGACTCCAGCACGGAGATCATCAGGAGAGAACGTGTACCCGTTTCGGGTTCTTCCTCTTTACAGCTTTTCATACGCACTGAGCCTCCTCACCGATGTAAGGTCTCCATGCCAGACCGACTGTCTTCCTCTGCTGCCAACTCTAAGGATTCACTCCAGCCTGGGTCCTCTCATGTCAACCAGATCCAGTGACTGGCTTTCTCTACTGTCTCCTGAACGGAGTTTATGAGTTCTTTTCTTTTCTTTGCAGTAAGTCCTGCCACTCTCCTCCACTTACAGACACTAGTTGCTACGAAACCTCTGCATCCTACTTGTACCGGAAAAAGGGTTGCTTTCCATTCTGCCTCCTCACATTTTTCGACAAGTGCCTCGTAGCCGTTTTTCCGCTCATGTGCAGCATTGATATTGTCTTCGTGAGGCACCGTGAGCTCCACCAGGTGCACCTCTCTCTTTTTCCTCCCATAACACCAAGTCTGGCTTTTTTGTAGTTGGAGAGGGGAAGAATCTCTTGAAGTCAGCAGCTACCTCCCATGTGCCTCCGCTCTGGTCTTCCATGGCTTCGTTCGTTTTCTTTCTGTTGGGAACCTTGCTTCCTTGCGGAACAAATTCAATCTCGGGGAGTCCATGCTTTTGTAGCTTGGGGGCGTATTTTCCTTCTTCCACCTGTTTTGTCGCCATTGTGGTGAGCACTTTCAGCACCTCATTGTGCCTCCAGGTGTATCTGTTAGGAGCCAGGTTGCAGTGTGACAAAATATGCTTCATGGTTCCTAGTTTACTGCATTTACACTTGTTGACCTCATGTACCTTCCGTCTGACCAGGTTCACCGGTGAAGGCAAGACATCATACGTAGAAAAAAGCTTAGCCTAGATGTATTCCACTTCCAGATGTCACTCCAACCGACTTTTCTTTCAACGACATGCTCTTTCCATCTGGTCATTTGTCCTTGCTGGCTACACTGGAGGAGCTGAATTTCTCAACTCTCTGCCTCCATCTTTTGCATATGTCTTGTTGCAGCTTTTCTTGTTGTGTCTCGCAGGGACATTTTCCTGAAAGGTCTAAAGTCGCCATTACCTAGCCACAATCTGTCAGGTTGTGCTAGACCACAAATGTCTCCATGCTCCAATGCAGAGATGATCTCGTCAGTAGCAACTTCTGCCTTCCACTTTCTCACTGTTTTGACACCTGGAGGTTTTCTGCTGATCTCCTGATCCCTTGATTCTCTCCATGATTGACATGAGAGGTAGTTGAAGCGCACCTTGCAGTCTGTACAGGGATGACGTGATAATTGTACGGAGTAGCCCAAGCCACTTCCTGATGTAGCTGTTACACTTTCTTTCAATCACCTCATCTTTTGACAGAGCAACTTCATACATTGTCAGTGGCCACGCCAATCGAGGGTAGAGGGTAAACTGTAGACACCATATCTTATGCTTTCCTGACAGATTCACCTACATTTATTGACTTCATTTTTTTGATACAGTTAATTATTTCTAGAGTAAATGGGTGTTTACTGATTTGAAATATGTTGATCAGAAACTGAGATATAAGCACTTTAAGTCAGTCACCCCGCTGGTACCCAGTTCTCAGTAAATTGGGTTTGAAGTTAGGACTTTTCATTTTCTCCAACACAGATGACGTTAAAATATCTTTTAAAATCCATATTGCTAGTTGTGTGTGAACTATTTTATTTTGAGACTTATTAATAAGAAAACTTTTTTCATGACGCGTAGAACTCATTTTCCATTCAAAATCAATTTTTTCAGTTTATTCGGAAATAGCTCCAGCAGTAGAGACATTCTGATGATTTTCTCACGACATTTCACAAGTACATTTTCTATTACTGCTTAAAATGCCAAACTGTCTTCTGGCGAACTGTGCGGGCATCAGAGTATCAATCTAAAAAATGAAACTGGTGCAATGAAAAATACACCTCTGAGGCCATTCCCACCTTTTCAGAACCATCTGGCGATTTCATCTGAGGGGTTGAACTTCCAGATTTCTTCTGTCTTTTGTTCTGTGAATTAAAATAATAATGCATATTTTTTATTCTTTAAAAAGTTGCAAAGAAAAAATTTTCACAATTCTTCATTTGTCTTCTTCACATTAAGCAAAATTCACGGGTCCAAGTTATTACTGAATTAGAATTTTTTTTTTAAAGGGAAAACTTTTGTATTCAAAGATCTAATGTGAACTTATACAAAAAATGTATTTACCAACAATGAAATATAAATTTTTTTTTTAAACATGCAGGAATTTGAAAAACGGTACCTTTTCTTCTACTGAACACTTTATACAAACAAAGAAGAGCACCATCCCCACTCCTAAAATAAAACTAACCACAAGTATTTAAGTACAAGAAAGAGGGCAGACCAACTGAACCAAGCAATAACCTTAACACAACAATTACCTTAGGGTTTGAAGATGGCGATTCATTTTCAACAACATCTTGCTTCCTCTTTCCTGCTCTTGTAGACTTAGGACTTGCACCTTCAGCCTGCAAACACAAAGTTCTTTTTGTAGAAACTCAAACAAACTATTATAAAACAGCACTAAATAATTTATATCAGCAACTGCATATTAAAAAATTTCTGACAGAATTCTAGTGGGGTCAATCTTTTTGTCACTTTTTTAGAAAAGACTACACATACTTCAGATCTGAAAAATTTACGAGAAGAGAGCATTCAATATTCCTGATAATATGACAGAGCTGGGTTTTCATGATTTTGAGCATAAGAATTTATGGAATTGTATTTTTCAATCGCAATGTACTGTTATAAAATAGTCCCAAACAGAGTCATAGCATTCCAATTCCGCTCTCTAAAAATTTGCGAATCTGATGTTCATCAAAGCTACATGACCAAAATCAAAAGGGGATTCCAAAGTCAAAGTATTTAGGGGGGAGGGTGGGGGGAGAGAAGAGGCTGTGAGTTGTTTGTAGGCTCAGGCTCACAATAATGTAATAAGTATGCCAGTGACTCTTGTGCTCTTGTGCATAAAAAAGTAAATCAAGGAATGTTTCTTTTTAGGAAATTAAGAAGTTTCCGTGTTGACAATAAGATTTTATGCCCCTTTTTTACCATTCTATGATTGAAAATGTGCTATTATTTTGTATTCGCTGATGGGGTGGGAATTGTAAGGTGAAAGATAAAGAAAAATTTGACAGAAACATTAAGAAAGCCAGCAAGATCTCTGGATATCATTGGAATGGATGAAATGTATAACACCACATGTATAAAAAGATAAAAAGCATTATAAACGACCCATCACACCCCTTTTCTACACAAATTGTAAGATCACGCAGCGGCAGATAAATACCTCCAAAAACAAAGAAGGAAAGATATAAAAGAAATTTTTTACCACCTTGCGTAAGGCTTTTGTCACAATGAGCATAGATGTGTGTTGCTCTTAGAGTATTTATCTATATATAACTCCAAAGGTCTTGTATTTAAATTCCTGCATGTGGTTGAATGATGCATTTGATGTAAATGTACATTTTATCAGCTTTACTTCTCTTTTCATATTGAATTTTAAAGAGATATATAATTTAAATTTTGTATGTATACCTGCATGCGTTTTTACGGTCCTGTACAGCCAAGGAAGATTTCCCTCTGGGATAATAAAGTACTATTTTATCTTAACTTATCCCTGTTTAGTAGATATAGTCCAATGATGTAATGACAGCAAGATTTGTCAGTTTTTTAGTAGATGTTTTACGGCGCCAGTAGATTAGAGGTGTTACAAGAGAGTAACAAACACAAAAAAGAAGAAGGGGAGATAGGGACAATAGATGTTCGATAGGAAAGAAGAAGCAAACCACACCAGAGCACCCGCCAACCACCCACAAGACTTGTCAATTAATCACGACTGTAGTGAGGGTCAAAAGTAATACATGATTGTTTGAGCTTTAAGCATATATTGTTGTTGTGCTAAAGGCTTGCGCGCATCTACTTCTCCCATGAAAAGACATAATTAAAGCAGAAGGTAATGTAAACATGTCTAGGCTCCTTTGATCTTTGGTGAAGAAGAAATTTCTTCCAGGTCAAATATTCTCCACTGTGCCAGAAAATATCCTAAATTCAACAAGACAAACATGGAAAATTGTTACATCAGCACTTTTTAGGAAAAATACTGTTTCCACTAAACACAAAGAAAAGCTTTATGCAGATTTTAATAAAAAATAAAATAGTCTATAATTCTCAAAGACACAACATCAGGACCAAGCTCTGATCAAAAACCCAATCAACGTCTTGACTGAAACCCAGCTCATTACGCTGCCACTGATGCTGCATCACTGCAATAACTTCACCACAGCACATAAATAGAACACAAAATTATGTTGATAATAGAAATAACCCATGTAATGTGAAGGGGACTGCTAAGAGAGTTAAAATCTTCACAAAACATCAAGGAAGAAATATTATGCGGGTGACCACCACCTAACGGACATTACGCGAGTTGGAAAAAAAACCCTGCAAAGTGGTTAACCCCTTCTTCACTGCTGGGCTTGGAGACTGCCTAAAGCTCTTTGTTAAGATTGTGAAGCTGGCCTGGCAGTAAAAGGGTTTAATGTCTTCACCTGTTTTGATTGTTCTGCCTGTAGCTTCGCCTTTTCCTCTTCCTTTTTCTGTTTCCTTTTCAGTATCTTCTCCCTTCGTTTTTCCTCCTCCTCCTTTTGTTTTTTGATACGTCCAACCAGGTACTCTGTGTACAGGGTACTTTTGCTTAGGAGATACTTCAGACGTTCATACCGCTTCTCACGAGAATCGTCAGTTATTTCATCTAGAAGCTGAAATAACAAACAGGCAATGACGACAACTAACAAAAATAAAATAAGGAAAAGGGACACATTTTTAAATCTTTAAAACAGTAAAATTGTTTTTAAATGGCATGATAAAACACACACACAATCATTCCAGACATAAACACAACAATGGACTTCATACGAAAAAAAAATCAACAATTACTGGCTGTTGTGCTAGGTCACCACGCTGGGCTAGAGTTCTGACATCTCTTTGCCTGAGACACACTACAAGGTACACTCCTACAAAAGCTGTTGCCCCTAAACATCCGTATTTTTTTTTTTACATAGCCCTGGCACACCACCACTCATCGTAATCATACACACCATTTCCTACTAACACACTTCACCTTTTCATTTTCCTCTTGTCTTTTCTCTTCTTCTTTGACTCCATTTGAATACAGCCTCTTCTCTTCCTCCAGCATTTCATCAGTGATGACTTTGCTGGGATCAACAGCTGCAGAGAAATTGTCCACAGATTCCTGAAATACAACCGGGCAATCAAAGCTCAAGAGTGGATTAAACTCCACCACTCTGCCACTACAAGAGACTGGTTGGAGTTCTTTCATTCATACATTACATGAGGTTTTCTCTGTCAAAAAATGGACAGATTTTCTCCACTGATATTTCCCACAACAAATGAATGTGGGAGAATAAAAAAAACTCACTCTTAACATTTCTGATATTCACCGCAAGCCAACTTCAAGTCTCAGATATATCAACATTTTCTTCCTCTCAATGTGAGAACTTAAAGGATTACAAATCCATAATAATGAGATGATGCAAAAGAAAGGACCCGCATATAATTAACACAGATGCAAACAAAATTTTTACCTCATTGGATGTGTTACTTGCTGCCGGAGATGAGCATCTGCCTAGGCACGCATCTGGAACAAATTTTTGACAATCCTTTTCAAATCTCTATCATAAAAACATCTCTATCGATAATAATGCACAACAAATTTCCAAGCTGTTGACATTTTCTGCTTATTTTCCAAGATCACCATCATCATCCTTGTTTACTCATTCCAATCTCGCAATTTTGAAGGGTTTACAACCTTTGGGCACTGGCTTCACAAAAATGGTACACAAACTTATTTTAGTACTATTAGACTTTGATTCCAGAGAGCATGTAATACATTTCTTCATAATATACAGTAAGACAATTACATTTTTTATTTTTTATTATTGCAACTGAATAGAACTCCTGGTAAGCAATGACTAGGTGAAACAACATTTCAGCTACACTAAATTTTTTAACATGAATTTACTTTATAATTAAAAGTGAGAAGCCATATCCATGAAATATATACGCTTTTACTTCTTTACTTTGAAATATTCAAATACAAACCTGTGGCAGTCCCATCAAAAAAGCTTGCACATGCAGCTTCCTCTGACGGAATAACAGCAGCTGCTTCTGAGTCATCTAACTTGGCTGGAGAATTCTCGCCAACAAGTACTTGAGGACTCTGAGACTGAGAGCTCATGTTGTTTGTCTCATAGAACCTAAAAGTAAAAACAGTTGAAAAGGAGTTAAAGGAAGGATGTCATGAAACGACTCATCTCTAGAAAACTCACTGCACAGCCCACGTACGAACACTCATCCAGATGAACCTGTACACAGTATATATGAGTTAAAGGGCTCATCTAGTTTATTTTTGTGGGAGTATGTATAAACGATCATCTTGCTTTGAGATGCCACGTGTACTTTGCATTAATACGTTAATATGTTATTATAAAGCCTAGTAGCTATAGCCAGAAAAAGCCAGTCAAGACATTTTCCAAGCATGTTTTAAAACCATACCGCATTACACACATAGTAAAATGCTTAGTTCTGGCACAGGCTCATTTAGATTTTAAGTGCCCATGTTATTGGATTTTCAATTCAAATGTGAAGTCGGTCCCGTTGTATGGATGTGAGACATGGAACGCATCAGACTTGCATAAAGAGGATCCATGTTTTCTTGAACAGGTGTCTAAGAAAGTTACTGAGGATCAGATGGACAGACAGGGTCACTAATGTGGAAGTGTTAAGGAAAACAAGACAGATCCCAGTCAGAGATGAGGTAGGAAGAAGGCGGTGGCGATGGATTGGACATACTCTCAGGAAGTCAGGCAGGTGCATAATAAAGAAAATTTTGGATTGGAACCCACAGGGTAAGAGATCAAGGGGAAGACCGCGTGGAACCTGGAGAAGAATTACAGAAATCAATGTACAGAAAAGTGGGAAGACATGGAATAACATCAAGAGGCTAGCCCAGGATAGAGAAAGGTGGAAGGTGTTTGTCCGTAGCCTATACCCAGGGGCAGGGTGAGAAAGGCAATAGTGATGATGATGTTATTGGCTGGCTTTGGTCTAAATTGAAATTTAGAGACTTTATCAAGGGCTTTAAAATATTATGTGAAGAAGCGTGGTGAATTCAGGCTCTTGTCAAAATAATGATATTGAAGAAACTGGCATAAATTTCTGCCAGTTTGGCAATTTTTATTAAATTTCTGTTTTCTGGCTTAACATCATTGTTGTACAGTGAAACTCGGATTCAACGAGGTCGTCGGGCCTGACCTAAAATCTCGTTGAATCCAAATGTTCGTTATAGCAAACATGAGGTTTTGTGTAGATAATTACAGGCACTAAGCAAGTTATGTACAAGAGAAGTCACAAGTAGTGCCTGAAATGCCTGCATATTACGAGCTGTGTAAAAAAAAAAGGCCAATTCATTCAAATGCACACGCCTGTGTCATCTCGATTGTTTACCAAAAAGTTGTGTTGCTGCGTAGAGCCTAGATACAGCAACTTTAGATTCCACAGATCAGCGCACAATTCAGTACGTGGATCTACGTCAAGACTAGCTTCTCAATGTAATAATGATCAGTTGCCGAGGGGGTAAAAAGACTACAACGCGTTTGTATGCGATGTTCAACGCCCGGACCGCCAGTTCCCCCCCCCCCCCTCCCGACACGTACACACTGCCACACGTGTGCAGGCCGCCCATCCGACCTCGACATACGCCAGAGTAGTCACGTGCGCAAGCCAACAACACATGTGTTGTTTTTTAAAAAGGCCGCTGATTGGTCGCATGCAATCGGCTAAGTGAATAATGGTTCACGATGCAGGTGCAATGGATGGATTCCGGGAATAGATCAAGTTCGTTTTGGGAGAAAAATTACCGAAGCCACGTCTACGGGGGGCTGTTCACCCTGGAAGCGACCTCGTTGAATCCGAGCTCGCCGATTTAAGTTCTCGTTGAATCCGGGTTACTTTTACTGATTTTAAAGAAGAAAAAAAAACGGGGAATCTATCTCATCTCGTTGAATCCGAGTTCTCATTGAATCCGAGCTCCACAGTACAAGTACAATTAGGAACACATTTCTTAGAAGATTTTACCCAAAAAGTTGACTGAAGGCACACATAATAATGTATGTTTTCAGTTTCCACGGACTATCAAGCTATAAAAACAATCACTCTGGCAGCCATTTTCTCAGTAATTCTACCTTTGAAACTAGGGGAGACATCTTCTTCAATCTCAAATATCTTGACTTTTCATTATTCAAGATAATGGGTACTTTTTTCACTGATAGCAAGACAACTGAACAAGCTTTAAGATGATACCAATAGCTTGAATAACTCGACCTGCCCAAAAATTGACGAGCGCCTGATTCCACAATGTTGTGACACATATATTCGAATTTTAAATTTATTGCAAGTAGCTTAGCTTCTACGCCTAGTGGTTTTGAATACAATGAATATAGAACTTGTTTTTAAGGCTTGCTTATGTGTGTACTGTGTAGGCCACAATTTTTTTCGGCATTATAATGATTTTGTCAATAATGTGTAGAAATCCCAGTGACAGAACGGAAAAGCACAGCTCCAATTCCTATTGCTAAAAGTGAGGATGTGCCATCAATGCCTTAACTTAAGACATTTTCTCAATTCTGGAGAAGCACGCCCTCCGCAGACAAACTCTTTAAGGCATCAGAAAAGACCCTGAAGACTGAAATAGTAAAAGGGCCTTTGCAGGATATTATTTCGGCCTACTATTATTATTGACAAGGTCTTTCTCCCCTCAACACCCGAGAGGTACAAGAGGACAGATAAAGTAAAGTAAGTAAAATTATTGGCATTTTCCGGTTTTGGCCCAAGGAGTACTCAACTGGATATACCGATACTGACTTCAATTAAATACTCGGTATTTCAGTTTTATCAAAAAAAGAGTGAGACGGGCTGCTATTTTTCAGTCAGGTAGTTATTTAGCAGACCAGAACCGAGACTTGATGCATGTCATGGCATGCAGCCCATACCGGCACCCGTGGACTTTATGCACCCCATACCGGCACCTGACACCCACTATACCAGCACACTCAAATTGAAGCACATTTAGCTCCTTTAATAGATAACTCTAGGCATTTGAAAAGAAGAAGGAGGCAAAGAAGAACTTTGTGTAAACCAGTAAACCCCATACCGGCACCTGTGCAGTTCATGCACTCTATACCAGCACTTGATACACCCCATACTGGCACACTCAAGTTGAAACATTTTCCCCTGCTTAAAGAAACAACTAATAGGCATTTGAAAAGAGGGAAGAAGCAAAGACAAACTCCTTTTGAACAGTAGGCCTAAAACAAAACTAATGTTTATTGACATACTAATACAGAAAAGAACAACCACCATAACAGACTCGCATGAACATCTAACTCTAACACAGGTACATGACTGCTTCAGTTTACTCTTCCACACATATTCAATTATCACAACCAACTTAGATGCACATCTTACTCACACTCAGGGCACACAAACGTAAAATGCTTAAGTTCACTTTTTGACATCTCACTCAACACAGCACCCTGTCGACCACAACACCCCTTAAATGATACCACAACTCACACACGTCATCCATCCATCTTTCTTCCCCCCCCCCCCCAAAGTATAACACACATTCGGATCTCCTCTATGACTCACTCCTCTGCGGAGATGTCATCGTCGTACACCAATCCCACCTCCTTTTCATCCTCTTCCTCTGTCTCCTCCTCATTCTCTCCTTTTCTTTTCTTTTGCTTCACCCTCTTTGCTTGTACTCTCCCTCTTCCTTCCCTTACTCCCACTTTCATTTCCTTTAGCTTTCTTCTCACCATCCTTCTTTGCTACATTTTCATCCTCCCCACACTTCTTGGTCTTCTTTCACTCTTGTTTCTTCTTTTTCCCTGCTCTCTGGTTCTCCAACTTCGTTAACCTTTTCTCCTCTTCACTCTTCTTTTTCTCTTCTTCCTTCTCCACCATTTTTCTCTTCCTCTCTTCCTTCTCCACCCTTTTTCTCTTTCTCTCTTCCTTCACCCTTTTTCTCTTCCTCTCTTTCACACGTTCCTTCTTTTTCTCTTCTTCCAACTTTTTTGCCTCCTCCAACTCTTTATATTTTGTCCCCGAAACGTACTTGGGGGCCTGAGCCCGCTTTTGTGTCGAAATCTTAGGAGTCCTGCATGCTGGAACAGGCAGGTTGTCGAACGAGGGGGCTTGTATAAGTTGATTGTACAAATCAAGGTACTTTTTGTACGCACCCTCCTTCTCTTTTGGTTTGATGTTATGCCACTGGCGACGGCGGACCCAGTACATGTCCGCTGCCGTCCACCTGGTGGCAATGACGTGGTCTATCAATTTATCCAGAACAAAAGCCTTGTCCAGGGGCAGTATTTCGGGGGCTTGGGGTGTTACCAGAGTTTCATCTTCCAATGGTCTCAACGCCTGCTCAGGCAGACAATACTCATGGTCCTGGTCACCCACAGGATCCTGAGCTGGTGTTGAGACCAAGGGAGGCGGAAACTCTGCTGCGTGAACCAGGGTGTCCGCGGGTCCGATCCTTGAAACATCATCACCCACAACATCATCATCATTACACACAACATCAAAACACACAACTAACGGAGGAACATCATTAGACTTAACATCATCATCACACACAGTATCATCATCATACACAACTAACGGAGGAACATCATCATCATTACACACAGCATCATCATTACACACAACAGATGGAGGAACATCACAACTTGTGGAGACAGGGGCTGCCGGCTTCTCACAGACCCTGTTGGCCTTACACTTTGAATAGTCAGGGGCATTCGGGTCCCATGGTGACAGGCCACTCTTTCTGAACGCCTTCACCAACACTTCCTCTCTGCCTTCCCCATATGTCCGTGTCCAAACGTCCTTGAACACAGGCATAAAGGTCTTAGGGAAAATTCCTTCCACACCGGCAATGTTCATGTGATCACGCAGCCCCTTTCTCCACTCCTCCTTCAGGATTCCATAGAAGATCAGGTCCAGAGGTTGCACGAGGTGTGACGCACTGACAGGGAGCAGGTAGTAAAGAATGCCGTGCTCCTTGCACAGGTCGTGCACTTCGTCGAGGCTTGTATGGCTGGTGTGCCCATCGCAAAAAAGCACGATGGGCCGAGGAAGGTCAACCACAGCCGGGATGAATGTTTCCTCCAGCCACGTCTTGAACACTGCTGCGTTGATCCATCCATTGAATGTGTGGACGCAGGAAGCCTCAGGGAAATCTTCCCAGGGCTTGAAGGACCAGCGCTGACCAGGAAATATGACGGTGGGGGGCAAGAGGTGACCACTGGCAGAGGCGCAGCTGAGGACAGTGATCTGCCGCTTGTTGTCACTGCAGATGAGGTAAGGGTGGCGGTTGCCCTCTTCGGTCACGATGACTTGCCCAGTGGAGCGGAGGGGGAAGGCGTTCTCGTCTGCGTTAAAAACACACCGGGGGTCGACGCTCTTAATGTCCACCCCATCTTCAGCTAGATTCTTCTCCACTTCTTTGAACCACGCCCTGAGTTTGTCCCCCGTCACCCTCGCCTTCTTGTCGCCAAGAACCAAGGTCTTTTCTCTCAGCTTCGGGCGGCGCCCGAAGAAAGACCGCACCCAGGTTCTCCCAGGCAGGTTATCTGTGAAAGTTATGGAATATCGTTACCAGTCTCTCGATAGTAATGAACCAAGCATTCAATTAATCAGTGCTTCCACCAGCTGAAGCTGAAAAGTAAGGAAATTCTGCCGGGGGTGCGCCCCAGCAGGGTCCAGGGACAGCGCCCTGGTGGGGGTTCAGGGGGCGGAAGAAATTGAAATTTAGTGCTTTTAGAGGGTTGAAAATGGCATTTGGGAGCCTTTTGAAGAGATTGCCCACAACCCATAACATTTATTTTCTCACCAATATTTTGTCCTGTTTGATTTCTTCACCTAGATATATCTAGACTCTAGATCTACATATCTTTCCATTGCTGGCAATGTTTAAAAGCAGATTCCCCTTTCATTGCTACTATAATTCAATTAACTTGTCGTTGCACCATTGATAGAAGACAAACCTGGGAATAATGAATAGATCATATGTACCTTCACAGTACAGTATACCCTAATTCCTCAATTTTCACGTCTGAATGTCGCATGTCAAAACCTCAGAACACCACTTCAAATTATTCTTGATTTTAGTTGTCTTAGCATATATTTCTTTCATCGCAGCTCTTATATCATCATTCAGGTGCCGTAGAATCTTCGCATTGATAATTAAAAATTTCTCTAGATCTATAAAAATCTAGACAAATTTGCAAAAAAGTTTCTGATGATAATTTTCTTCTAAGTCTAAAATCACATGTCAATTTACCTGATCAACGCGCAGATTTTCCAGCCGCGGCAACAATCCGAAGATAGACAGAAGGAATGAGTGAATGATAGAAAGGAAGAAATTGGAACAAAAAAGTTCGCCAGATTTTAATCTATCTGCAGGTAAAAAATGTACTGCCAACCAACCCGCAATGAATGCACGGGGCATAGCGGAATAATTGCCGATAGCAGGAAATGCGCAATCTGGCAGGTTTCTATAACATCTTAATTGCCGAGAGAATTACCGTAAATATCCATAACTTATACAAGACGATACGAAAGCGAGTACGGATCTTTTGCTACAGAATTTCGGCAGTCCTACGCTGTCGCAGATTTTTACGGAGGGAGTTGATAATGATGGAGGAACAAGTACGGAACTGGCAGAAAGTACGGATTTCCATAAAAATACTGAAACGTGAAAGCACTGATTAATTAACAACAATCACAAAAATCTGTCCTCACATTTGTGGTCTTGATCGAAATAGTTCAATAGATACAATGGAATTGATTAAGCATAGACTTACAGGACCTTCGATCCCACAGGCACGCAGGTAGTTTATTTTTGTAGGTTTTCTCCCCCATCGACACTATATTATACATCATTTAGGAGGCGGGCTTCGACCTATCTGTCAGGGTCAACCTGGGTTGTGAGGGACTCAACGTCCCAGCAGAAAAATCGACAGAAAAATCGAGAGAAAGGTCCGCGCCATGCAGGCACCGAACCCTCATCCTCTACGGGAAACAGGAATGAGTACTGGGAAATATGAAAATGTGTATTTTCAGGGGGAAATGTGTATTCCCCATGACCGACCCACCAACCACTAATAGTAAAATGTTCAGGGTGTCCAGCAATATTTCCTGGAAAAAATTTACCAACTCATCAGCTCGAAAAAGGGAGCACAAACATGTACAGTATACTTGTTACTGGGGTCTTGTTTGATTTAAGTATTTCAGTATATTATATTTTCCTCTCATTATTATATAAAAAATAAATCCTGCTTTGAGCGTTCGGAAGGGCCTAGAACAAGAATTTCGACTGTCAAGAACCAGTCTGGGTTCCATGATTCAAGTTATGAACTGACAGACTCAAACTATTGCTCAAACTCAGAGAACAGCAATAAACGGTGTTGCCTTCCCCCCCCCCCCCCGTGTATCTTTTTTAAAAAATCAATAATCCCCTCTCCTACCCCGTAGTCCTATACTTCGCAACGCAGTTACTCCCACCAAAGACCCTGTCCTTTGCTCACACGATGCCGCATTCATGTATGATGCAAATGCGCGCAGGTTCATTGACTGGTCACGATGGCGAGCCAGACAATGTAAAAATCGGACGACGCTTGTATTTTCTTTTCTTTCTTTCCCCACACGTGACAGCACAGAGATGAGTCCGAGGGGGGGGGGTTGATTAAATTTTATTTGCACGGCAACACAGCGTTTACACTGCACAACTTGCATGTTACAAATGTTGTGTTATCAGACTACCGCTGGTAAACTTCTCTGGTAACGAAAGCGAAAGTAGATCTTGATTTTCCCGAACGAGCATCGGTGTCACATACACTTCCGCCTACCGCCATAGCCGCCTGTTCGCGTGAAACGTACTCTCGGATGAGGAAAAGCTAAATGAATATAATATCACAATCGCGACCGGCAAAATGAATTTACTGACCTTATCGGACTTGGTTTTCAAATATTCCAGTTCCGCGATACTTATACTATTTTGACAAAAGATGGGACTTGAGATAATTAGGTTTACTTGCCCAAGCTGAATCTCGGGGTTTTTTTCGCATTCCAGGATGCGTATTTTTTCATTCAAAGTCGTATTCGCGTATTTTCGGCAAAAAAAAAGGTACTAAAATACGTAAAATCGTACTGGTTGGCATCTTAAAACAGCAAACCGCCTAGCAGTTGCACCACAGACGCAGGCAGCTTTATGATGTAGACTATATAAAAAGTACAAAGTAAAAACCTGTAAATACTGTTGTTCTGCCCTCACTGTTGAGGAATCTCTGAACAGCAAGGCAGAGATTCTCGTTTGTCCTCCCAATGCCACGCCTCGCTGAAACTGTCAGCCACTCCTCAAGCCTGTTCTCCTCCTCCGTCGAGAGGATGGTCTTGGATTTGGGGGTGACCGGGTACTTGTCGCGCAGCTGAAGGTAAGATCAAATGAAATTTTTGGTGGCTATACCAGAACAGCGACATTATTTTAACAAACATGCACAAGGGTCACAGAATCACACTTTACTGTGGTACATGATAAACAGACAAAGTGCTCTCACTCTCACAGGCACAACCGTGAACACTCTCTCGCAGTAGTCTCGCTGTCGTTCACTTTCTTCTTGTCTCCTTCCTCTCAGTATCCTTCCTTCTTTTCCACACATTTCAAAAATTAATATGCACAGAAAACATGAATAATGCACAGAAATAAATGGGTGCGCACACGCACACACACACACATACAGTAAGCTGTAACACATACATGTACTCAGACACACAAGCTATACCACGTACTATATACTAATACACACAAACACATACAGTAAGCTATACCACTTACATGTACTCGCACACACACACACACACAAATACACACAAACATAACAAGCTATTAACCTTGTCCGACAAAGTGGTCCGGGGGACGCCAAAACGCTGGGCAGCACCCTTAACGCTCATCCCTTTGCTTACAGCCTCTGCAGCCTTCTCCATCGCTCCTTGTGCGTATAGTTTTCTTTGAGGAGCCATGTTCTGTTTCACAAGAAAAATAGCCAGGATTCAACCTACCACTGATTCAAACAGACATATTGCATGCAACAAGCGGTACACTACAAATGTCTTACGTGATCATCTCAAACACTGTCCCTTGAATACCTTTGTACGTCGATAGGAACATTTGCTTTTTTACCATTAGTATCGAAGTATAATAATAATAATAACAATAATAATAATATGCTACGCAATTGGACGATGTATAGATGTTAAACGTGTTAGTTGGTGGACTGAGGTTTGTTGGCAAGGGGGAAAAGAGATTCCTTCATGATATAAATGGTCGTTTTGAAGGACAAGCGGGCTAACCCAGATTTCGGGGGTTTCCAGAAATCTTGACCTGCGCCAAAAGTGGGCATTGTCCTCCCATAGGAGAAGTTTGGTTTCATTGGTGGTATATTTGTTTGGTTATAAATAGTATAGTATAGAGAAAACTCTCCTTGTTTTTTAATAAAACTGAACAAGGGGCAAAAACTTTACTTTTGATTTTCTCTAAACAGCATTTTTTGGGATAGCCCGCTTGTCCTTAACCAAATGGTCAAACATTAAAAAAGAAAAATCTTAAGTAGCTCACTTTCTAGATAGATCTATATTAAATCACAGGACAAAAAAATCTGAAGCACTAAGATGCCATCCATAGTCCGTCAAGAAATAACTGTTTTTCAAGTCAAACATAGAAATATATAGAGTGCAGGTATGGGGTGCCTTCATCAAATCTGAGCACCTCTTACTCGCACCCCCCCGCTGGCACCAATTGTTACATCAAAGAGTAGTGAATGGCTTGTGCCAGTAACTAGACACAAGCGGAAAGCAGTAGCTAGAGAACGACAACTAAACGCCATTGGCCAATATTTATAGTAACTTAACAGCCATCTTGTTTGACCTTGCAACGGGGATGCCCACAGTAGCATCTGATCGTGATTCTAAAAATAGTGATGATTTTGTACAGCGTGCAGTTTGCACTGTTAGTTTCCAAGCTTCTTCAGCAGTTTGCACCTTGCGTCTTTACACCAGCAGTTTCCAAGCTCTTTCAACATATTACATCACTCCTCCACCCTGCCCCTCTTCCTCCCCTGCTTTCTGCCCCTGTATCTTTCCCCCCCCCCCCACCTTCCCCTTCCTGCCTGCCCTCTTTGAGTCTTTCCTAGTGGTTCCCGTAGTACACTGCATTTGCACCTCACAGTACCCATTTGCAAACCTTGCAGTTTCGAATTACTCCCTTTGCAGCTCGGCGTCCTATTGAGTCCAATCTCTTGTAAGTGCTTAATTTCTTGTGCTTACAAAACCGTAAAAGAAACGTTACGGATCGAAATGGTTGTTCATTTGCACTGCGTCGTCCAAATTGACGTAAACCTACTCTTAGTCGTCTTCTTTTCAGTTTAGATAGTGTACAGCATCAGAATCAATCTGGGCGGAAGAAGGGTGCTGCACAATCACAGACAACCGAACCGACCAGTTCCGCCTGTTGCAAAGAAAATAACCCGAGTCGGCAGGCTGTCGTTGTGCGGTCGTATTGCCAGTGTGTGTATGTGTGTGAGAGAGAGAAACAAGAAAGAGAAAGAGAGGAAGAGAGAGAGAGGGAGAGGGAGAGAGAGAGAGAGAGAGGGAGAGAGAGAGGGAGAGAGAG